GAACAAGAAATGCTCGAGATAACAAGAGCTGTCAGGTCACTCTCCCAGATAACACTACAGTCATCTCAACCATCCAAAACAAGAATCGCCACATCTCACGGCTCTGTCTACACCGCCGCCGCCTGACACTCTTACAAACGAGCACAAATTGCGTGATGTGGGAGGCCAGGTGATGGAGGTGTGGTGGGAGTGGCCAAGTGATGGAGGTGTGGTGGGAGAGGCCAGGGTGGGAGGTGTGGTAGAATGAACATGTTAAAAGTTAATGCGAGAGTATGTATAAAGGTGTGTGTATTGTCAGGAACACTAGTGTGGTAGAATGAACATGTTAAAAGTTAATGCGAGAGTATGTATAAAGGTGTGTGTGTATTGTCAGGAACACCAGAACACAACAAAATACAAACAATACATCAATTTAAGGTGAAGAGAGTGAGAGAGATAGATGGCGGTGGACAAGGCAAGGCAGTGTGAGGTGAGACAGGGACGGGGCGGTGTTAGACAGGGAAGGGGCGGGGTGGGGCGGTGTGAGACAGGGCAGGGCATTGCGAAAACAGGCCGGGACAGTGCGAAGCGGTATGAGACGAGACGGGGTGGTGTGAGGCAGTGTGAAGCGGTGCGGGGACGGGTTTGAGGCGGAGTGGGGACGGGACTGGGCCCTGTACTAGGCAGTGTGAGGCGGTGCGGAGACGGGACAGTGCGGTGTGAGACGGGGCGGGGCGGGAACGAGACTGGAGCGCTGTATATAACTTGGTCACGAGCTACAGGCCGGAATTCTCACAATGTTCTCCCAGGTGTCTCGTATGTCTCCGCCCTCACACTCTCATCTCGAGTGTAAAGGGTCACTGGGGAGGTGCATGACGAGGAGGAACACACTCAGTAACCCTTTGAGGACGAGGGTTTTAAGTTTTATATCTCAAACCCTCGTCCTCAAAGGGGTTATTAACTCATACCCCCACCGTCCTCAAAGGGTTACAAATTAAACCTCGTCCTCAGAGAATAATCAATAAATTTACGAGGGGTCCATAATCTGTTCCCTACTGTACACTCTTTGAAGACTCGAGGGAAAATTTCGTCTGGCCCTGGGATTTTTGTCTTCTTTAGTTTATTTATCCTCTTAAGAACATCCTCTTTTCTGATAGCGATATTCTTTAATTTCTCTTCTTCCTTTCCCCTAAATATGAGTTCCACCTCTAGAATTTCCTCGTGAATTTCTTCTGTGAAAACTGATAAGAAGTAGTTGTTCAATGCTTTGCTTATTTCTTCACTGCCATTTATCACTTCTCCCCTCCCTAACTTTAAAGGCCCAACTTTGTCCTTGACTTTTGTTCTATATACCTGGAAAAATCCCTTGGGATTCGCCTTGGATTCACTTGCTATTTTGATTTCATAGTCTCTCTTTGCTTTCCTTACATTTTTCTTAACATTCCTAGATAGTTCATTATACCTATTTCTGAGCTGCTCCTCCCCTCCCTTTAATTTCTTATAAATTCCTTTCTTTATTCCTATGTCATGTTTAAGTTTTCTGGACATCCACCTTGGCTCATTCTTATTTGACCTAATTTTTCTGTATGGTATATTTTGTTCTTGTGTAGGATGTATGTGTGTGTGTGTGTGTGTGTGTGTGTGTGTGAACAAAGGAAAGTACATTAATCGCCAAGACAACAGGTGGAAAAACACGAGATATTTAACAAGAATACTTTAAATTAAAACAATAAGCGTAAGAAAAGGACACACAGCTAAATATTAAAATCACGTTAATGTCAATACAGTGAAAATATATACAGTACAGTCAGTAAACGTTTCCACTCAGTCTCTCTCAGTTCAAGTCTTCGCCATAAAGAACTTCCCTGTGTTAGAAGAGCCAGTGGTCACACAACACAACAACACTCACTGGTTTACAAAGACAAAAGAATATTGTCTAATTTTCTCACGTGGTGTTTGTCCTCTCTCTCTCTCTCTCTCTCTCTCTTATCAAGGTGTTCAGGATGGGGAACACATGATAAGGACAAGATCATTTAAATACGTCTATTGTTCTAAATGTAAATCTCGTTACTTGGATCACCTGAAGATTTAAGTCACCACAGCTTATTTCACCTGATGATTAAACACGCTAATGCTGCTTGGCGGATTATGATATGATAGGTTAGGTTAGGGTAGGATAGGATAAGTTAGGTTAGGTTAAAATGAATTTGATTTAGGTCAAGTTAGATTAAGTTGGATTAGGTTAGATCGAGTTAAGGCTAGAATTGATCTCAAGGTGAAATAAACTGGGGGAGGTTAATCTTCAGGTGACCAGGAAACTCTCGGCCATCCCTACGAGTGCTGCCTGCCTACACGACCATCTCCCTCCTCAGCGTCCTACCGTTTCTCCTCTTCAGCCATGGCAGCAACCTCCTGAGAAGGCGTCAACTCCACTTCAGCGTCCTCCAGGGTCACCGCCTCCCCCTCACCCTGAACTAAATCCTCATCAGGCGGTACATTGTCTCCACCATCAACAACCTCAATATCCTCAGAGGGCGGTGATTTCTTCTTCTTTACAACCGCGAAGGAAATGCGTTCAGTTTTAGTCTCATCTTCACACTCGATCGAAATATCTCCCGATGGTTGTTGAGTCTTGCCTGAGGTGTCCTTGGAAAGTTTAACATCTCTCTTAGCTACGACTAAAGTCTCTTGAGAAGGAGTAATGTCAGCCATGACTGAGATTTTCTCCGGTTTAATCTCCTTCTCAGCCATGATCTCTTATGGGTAAGGTAAATCTCCCGCTGAGTGGTAATGACTGGTGTTGTACTCCAGTAATCGTCTCGTGTGTCTTGACGGATGATGATGACAACTCCACTCCGCTAGACTAGACTATACACTCACTCACTCACTGTCATCACTGATTTTACAAGAGCAGGTAAACCACACACGCACTGGCTGTTGAAGAGCTCAGGTGTGTACTTCATAGGCATTTCCTTCATTATCACAGTTATCTCTTATCGTGACCATGTTCTTGCGCCCACATTCATAACCATAAATTATCTCAACCCTCACCCTCCCCTCCCCCACACACTTGTCTTCTGATCTATAAACCAAAATATCTCGAATTCTTAAGTGGTGTTGTGAGAGCGTACTGAATCTAACTGGCTCACCCAAGCTTCAACACGAGGATGGTAGCCAACATGACAATACTGTAAGCGCGGGTGTAATCTTTAAAACCCCTGAGCTTGTGGTTCCTACCTGACCAAGACTTATGACAGTGTACATATAGGTAATAACTGTGAGAAGAAAGGGGTGTGTGAGGAAATGGAGTAGAGAGGGGTGTTGTGGGGTAGAGAGGGGTGCTGTGGGGTAGAGAGGGGTGTTGAAGGGGATAGAGAGGGGTGTTGAAAGGAGAGGGTAGGGTTGAGAGGGGTAGTGAGAGATAGAGGTAAAATTGAGGTGAATTGAACCAACACGCGAGCCCTCACGAGTGTTTTAAGATAAAGTACAGTACGTATAAGATAGCCGTATAAGATAGCCCTAACCTAACCTAAGCTAAGGCTAACCTAATGTTTTCCTCAGCCATTCTTGTTGACTGCTTGGGCTGGTGATGGATGAGTCGTCCTTTCACCAGTACACAGGTAAACTTGGTGCAGTACAGAGCATCATTCACACAGTTGAGGCGAGGTGTGTGTGTGTGTGTGTGTGTGTGTGTGTGTGTGTGTCCCCAAAACAAGGTCATCAGGGTGGCTACATGTCTGTACAGGACCTACAGTACACTGGCCATGTTAGGTGAGAGTCGTCATCCTTATTCAATGTGAGTGAGGCTGCAAAGCTGTCTAAGGGCACTACCCACTGTTCACCTCACAGTCTCTCCTCCTCGTCCTGTATCTCTCATGCCAGTTCACGTGTTACATATAAGTTTTGTTTAGCTGCCCCGGCAACTCTGTAACTCACTCACTCACTGACGGAGAAGAATAATTCACACGATGACTGCTGTAACCAATTAAACCCACTTAATATGACCTTCTTAAATTAAACTTAACAAAATTTAAACCAATATATCTTAGGTTTATAAAATTAAGTTACTGTACGATACATGTTACTGAGGAATAATGCCAATAATTCACTCAGCGGCGAGGAAATGTGATCTTTACGTAGACAACTTGTATACGTCAGTCAACACGCCCAAGAGTAAACATCCCTCCATAAGTAAAAATAATGTATTGTTATTGTTTTACGTGAGTTATATCGCGTTGTTGTTTGTATAATGTCGTCTTGCTTCCTGTTATACTAATGGTGGTGTGGATGACGCTGTACCCAACATGTACTGTACTGGTGAGACACAACACCTTGGCGTCACCCTCAACTGCCTTACTTTCTCTTCCGGGGACACCAACCAACCTTACTGAAACATAAGTCACATTTACTGAGGACAAGACGCACACTACTGAGTCACCACACACACACACACACACACACACACACACACACACACACACACACACACACTCTGCTAGTTTCAGATTTTTAGATTTGCCCCGCCCGGAGGCTAGTTTATCTCTTGCTCTGGTGACTTGTATTACACAGTGCTGGCTGGTGAAGGTCAGCTCGGTCAGGAGAGGCACACACCTGAAGATGTTTACACACCTGAAAATGTTTATACGCCTCAAGATGTTTACACACCTGAAGATGTTTATATACCTGTGCATAGAGTAGTATCCCGAGTAGGTAAACAAATGATGATAGGTTTTGTAAGTAAAATCTCTGGATTAAGGAACCGTCTGAGGTGGCAACCCTATAGGAAGCGTTTAACATCATCAGTTATGCTATTCCTGTTTGGCCAACCGACCCCACCACCCATGGTATTGTGACCCTGCAGCCTCCCTCCCCCTCTGCTTCCTCACCTGTCCTCTCCTCACTTGTGTTCTACCTTACCTGTCCTTCCTTCACCTGTTCTCTCCTCACCCGTTGTTCCTTCCCATATAGTTAATCCTCCAACCTTTCCTCACCCGTCGCCCCCTCACCCGTCGCCCCCTCACCTGTTATGGTCGTTGTTGACGTAACTGGGGATAAAGAGAGTTCCTTCCTCCTCTTCCTCGTGCTTGGTGTCCTGGAAGATGATCCGTTGTTGAGGTTTGGGCTTTTCTAGTACCACAGGATTCTCACTCTGGCTCACCCCTTCCTTCCTCCTCTTGCTATTCTCTTCCCCTGTGTCTGTATCTTTGTCCTTGCGCTGGAGGGCGGGAGAGTGGTTGCTGTCGACGGAGAGGCGCTTCGGGAGGACTGCTACTGAAGTGACACTCGGCAGCAGCTGACACGTCTCCTCCTCCTGTAAACACACCAACACATACATGTTAGTTCTCGCCTTTTGATGACACCCCATGGCAAGTGACACCCTATGACAAGTGACCCTCCATGGCAAGATGACACCCCATGGCAAGTGACACTCCATGGCAAGTGACGCCCCATGGCAAGATGACAACCCTATGGCAAGTGACACCCTATGACAAGTTGTAACGAGTTGATACCCACTTTTTATTGGACAAACGCCGCACCATCAGACAAAACAACAATATCTCATCAGTATATAGATGGGGTAAAGACACAGTAGCGTGGGTGTACGGTCCAGCACAGTAAGTAGGCAGGTGCAACACAACCCCTGCCAGGTGTCAGCTGACTTAAAACAACACGTGTGTGGGGGGGACACCTGGCGCTCTGCTGCTGGGGGTAGTGGTGATGGTGGTAGTGTCAGGGTGGTGGTGATGGTGGTAGTGTCAGGGTGGTGGTGGTGAAGATGGTGGTATTGGAGTGGTGGTGTTGGTGGTCAGGGTGGTGGCTGGGATGGTAGAAGTAGTAGGTAGTAGTAGTAGTAGTGTCGAGGTCGTATTTTACGTTAAAAAATAAATAAACGACAATTACGTGTGTACCATATCTTAAAACGTCCACTAAATAAACAGACATATATTTATTCCAGTAAAAATAGTCACATGAGTCGACATAGGCAAGGAAAGATTGGCAGAGCGTGTCGATTCCACCAAAGATAGACCAACTGAGTCCGCTTAAACCTTACTACCATCCATCATCATTTTGGTTTAATATGTAATCTACCTAAACTATCACACCGTAAACTTAGAAAGTCTTCATTATATCCAAGTATTAAGACAAAGTACTACAGTAAGACACCCTTGATCTGCCGTGTTATCAAAGCCTGTGTGTGTGTGAGGTCTCGGGTACAAGATTATCTGGTAATACTGCAGTCAAGGGAGAATGGGTGAGGGGTAACTGAGATAAATTATAGCATATACAGTATCTCCTTCCCAAACTATAGGAGGCAAGGCTGGTGAAAATGATCGAAGGATAATATCAATAATCATAGACAAAAGGACAATATATACATTTTACCGAATAAAGGGAGACGCAGATAAGAGGTGATAAAGAGAGGAGAATGAAGAAGAAAACTAAGGTAACCTAATACATCCTCTCCTCCTTCGTCACCTTCCACCTAATATCTTAAGATTTTACTCAAGTTTACATGAATACTACTTTAGGGTCCACACACACACACACACACACACACAATATAATCATAAACAAAGCTATTGACCTCGGGCTTCGGAGAAGTCTCATACCATGGCTTACAGACTTCCTCAGTGACCGACGCCAAGCTGTACGCTTCCGAGGGGCTGTCTCCACCTTTCAGTCACTCACCTGTGGCGTCCCCCAAGGCACCAAGATGGGACCACTCTGCTTCCTTATGCTCATCAATGATGCCCTAAGAGAAACCCCTGCTCGCTGGAAATATGTCGACGACTCCACCATTGGGATCAGCGTCAACAATTCCGCTCCCAACTATACCGCCCTTCAGGATTTATTGAACAGTCTCCAAAACTGGGCCACCAACAACCATGTCACCATCAACCATACCAAGACAATGGTTATGCACATCAACCTCTCCTCCGACATTGTCCCACCTCCTTCCATTACCCTAGGTCCGAACACACTCCAGGTTGTAGATTCCACGAAGCTCCTCGGCGTCACCATAGACAACAAACTAAATTGGAAACCACACGTCAGTGAAGTTGTCAAATCCTCCAGTTTCCGTCTCCACCTCCTCCGCCGACTCAAGTCCCTCGGAGTTCCTGCACACGAGCTCCTCAGTGTATACACAACATTCATACTTCCCAAGCTCACCTATGCCTCCCCCACCTGGTCTTCCTCCCTAAATGCCACACAACGTAAACACCTAGAAAAAGTGCAAAAGAGGGCATGCAAGATTATTCTCTCCCCTTCCTACTCCACATATCAAGAAGCGCTCAACACACTGACCCTTTCGACTCTCACTGACCATCACCACGGCCTCATCTGCAAATTTGGTAAGAAGCTTCTACACCATCCCCGACACCGGCCCCTACTACCACCTGAGATCCCCTGTCCGAGAATTGCTGTTCGACACCACAACCGCATCCAGCCCATACGTGCACGAACTGATCGCTATAAGAACAGCCCAGTCCCAACCATTGTAAAAATTATCAATAACATGTAATAAATCAGTGTATTCACTCCCAGTAAACACTGCTCCCTACACTGTCACTATGTTGAAATGAACTGTATTTTGAGCTGATCCCCATCTAAGTTACTATATGTCTTATTTGTGTCACTTATGTCACTTGTATATTATTTGTAATTCGTAACCCATTCCCCAAATATGTAACTGTATATTTTCAGCCTTCTGGCTGCCAAGCTCTATCAATAAACCGTTAATTATTATTATTATTATTATTATTATTACACACACACACACACAGTAACCTTGCTCTCTGGGAGGGGGGGGGGTTGCAATACACCTGAAAAATAGAAATAAAAGCAGGTGGTGATGACAGGCCGCTACACCTGGTACACATGACTAAATACCTGACCCATTAAGCACTACACACCTGCTAACACAACACCTTCAGGCACTACACTTCCTCTCGTGAGAATACACATCTGCAGGACCTACACACCCGGGAACACTAGACCTGCTGGAATAGGTTGATTACACATATAAGTAGTAATATCAAACTCATTTACCACCCACCACCACCACACTACCTTATACTACACACCCACCACCACCACACTACCTTATACTACACACCCACCACCACCACACTACCTTATACTACACACACTACCACACACCACCACACTACCTTATACTACACACCCACCACCACCACACTACCTTATACTACACACCCACCACCACCACACTACCTTATACTACACACCCACCACCACCACACTACCTTATACTACACACCCACCACCACCACACTACCTTATACTACACACCCACCACCACCACACTACCTTATACTACACACCCACCACCACCACACTACCTTATACTACACACCCACCACCACCACACTACCTTATACTACACACCCACCACCACCACACTACCTTATACTACACACCTACCACCACCACACTACCTTATACTACACACCTACCACCACCACACTACCTTATACTACACACCTACTACTCACTACCTTATACTACACACCTACTACTCACTACCACACTTTACTCACACAAAACAAACTGATGCAATTCCCTCCACACCTGTCCAGCTGACGTCTGCAATTCTACAGCATTAACAACAAGAGGTGGTCAATACTCCGATAAGCTTAAACAACAGGAGTTCCTTATAGATTAAATTGTTGAAGAATAAATACTCCCAACACATCCGCTGGGTCGACCTTTCTCTCTCTCTCTCTCTCTCTCACCTTCACCGCTGTCTGACACATCCGCCATTCACCACACTGCTTAAAAGTTCACTCCTCATATTTAGTTTTTTCAATGTATTTATATATTTCAGCTAATTAAGTCTTTAACAATGCACTATAAATAAACAACTATTAAAAAACACTGAGAGCAAGTCTTCCGTAACACGAATTAAAACGTAAAATAAGTGATTCAGTGAAGTCAATCGAAAGTTTGTTGGATGCGACGAACTGTGTCTGGTATATAAACAAACCTCTGCGTTGCGTCGCCATGGTCACCAAACATTGATTTTATGTTCATTAATTCCTTATTTGAGGGTAAGTGAGGCTAGCCACTTAGACTCAGTAGAATTTCAACACTATTATGACCACCAACTTTGCCCCCCCTGTTACTTATGTGAGGCAGGAGAGGAAGAGGAAGGAAGGGAGGAAGGAAGGGGAGAGGAGGTGGTGGGGGACAGCGGGTCAGGAGGTGTAAGGTCAGAAAATCAATCCCATCCTCCGGGGTAAATTCTCAAGCCTCCAGAAACTACCCCGGAGTAGTTTCTGGATACTACTCGCTGTATAGGGTAGATTATGACAGAATCTACCTCTACCTCACTGAATCTACCTGCACCTCCCAAAATGTCATGTGAGCTAGATGTGGAGATTCAATACTATGTGAGAGAGAGAGAGAGAGAGAGAGAGAGAGAGAGAGAGAGAGAGAGAGAGAGAGAGAGAGAGAGATAGGACACCTGCCGAATTATCATTTTTTCTTTATCAGTTCCTATTTTCTTTTATTATATACATTGTTGTTATCGTAGTTATTATTTGCAATCAATGTTATTGGGTTTTTTACAAGATGTTATTGTTGTTATTGATATTGTTATTTATAGTGTCGATGGAACATTACCTTACTGAGCTATACCTTGAACACCTAGCCTCCACACCTGCCGTACACACACACACACACACCTTAGCGAGTGACAGCATCAACACATAAAGACCCTGTGACCGTGTTGATGTAGGAGGGGCACCTGTCTCGCGCGCCCATGACTCATCACCTACCTCCCCACCTGGCCAGCTGACACACACACACACACACACACACACACACACACACACACGTACATAAATAGCTTCACCATACCCAACAGAAAGCGACTGGAACCTTTAAGGGAGGCAGCCCTTCCCTAGCTATTATATCTGAAGGTGGGAGTGTTTGTACCGCCTCTTACTGATGGATGAAATAACATACTGTGTGTGTGTGTGTGTGTGTGTGATTAGTTCGTGGTTGATGTTTCGACTTTGTGGGCTTATTTAGTACTCTATCTATCTATCTATCGTACAGGAAGTTTAGATCGAGACAAAAAATAATAATCAGGTCAGAAGGAAATTGTCGATGTGTCTCAGGCGATTAAGAAACAGTAAACATGACTGACTTTTACGACACCAGAGGTACCATGACCGTGTTCCTCTGTATCAACGGCGTCAAACACGACGAGAGAATTACTGTAGTTCCAAAAGTTCGTCAATAATGTATAAAACCGTGACAGCATCCCTTCCCACCCCTCTC